GACTTTCGTGTTTTCGGCTTGGCACTTTACGTTGCACGCTTAAGAATCTCCTCAGAAGGCTTCGTCGCCAATCGCACTAGGACTATGCAGGAGCGCAGGAGCACGCTCTAAATCGGTCCTCTGCTTCAATAGGAACGCAAAATTCGACTTTGTCTGTTCGTGTTTTCGGCACTTCACGTAGCACGACGCTAAAGAATCTCCTCAAGAGTAATCGTCGCCAATTGCACTCGGACTATGCGGGATGGCAAGGGCACGCTCTAAATCCGTCCTCTGCTTCAATAGGAACGAAAAATTCGACTTTGACTTTCGTGTTTGCGGCAAGGCACTTCACGTAGCACGCTAAGATATCCCCGCAAAAGACATCGTCGCCAATCGCACTGGGACTATGCGGGATGACAAGGGCAGGCTCTAAATCCGTCCTCTGCTTCAATAGGAACGCTAAATTCAACTTTGACTTTCGTGTTTTCGGCTTGTCACTTCACGTTGCACGCTATAGAATCTCCTCAGAATGCTTCGTCGCCAATCGCACTGGGACTCTGCGGGATCGCAAGAGCACGCTCTTAATCGGTCCTCTGCTTCAATAGGAACGCGAAATTTGACTTTGACATTCGTGTTTTCGGCTTGTCACTTCACGTTGCACGCTAAAGAAACTCCGCAGAAGGCTTTGTCGCCTATCTCACTGGGACACTGCGGGATCACAAGGGCGCGCTCTAAATCGGTCCTCTGCTTCAAAAGGAACGCGAAATTCGACTTTGACTTTCGTGTTTTCGGTTTGGCACTTTACGTTGCACGCTAAAGAATCTCCTCAGATGGCTTCGTCGCCAATCGCACTAGGACTATGCGGGATCGCAGGAGCACGCTCTAAATCGGTCCTCTGCTTCAATAGGAACGCAAAATTCGACTTTGTCTGTTCGTGTTTTCGGCACTTCACGTAGCACGACGCTAAAGAATCTCCTCAAGAGTCATCGTCGCCGATTGCACTGGGACTATGCGGGATGGCAAGGGCACGCTCTAAATCTGTCCTCTGCTTTAATAGGAACGAAAAATTCGACTTTGACTCTTTGTGTTTTCGGAACTTCACGTAGCACGACGCTTAAGAATCTCCTCAAGAGTCATCGTCGCTAATCGCCCTGGGACCAAGGTAAAAAATCAATTGTGGGTCATGAATCAATTGTGGGCCATTTATTCGCCGGGCCGCTGCGGGCCCGTCCGTGAATGAATCGATTTGAATTTCGCGGTAGGCCTTCCCCCAACCTTCCTTTGTCGCCTCGTATGGCGCGGATGACGGAGCGACGACCACAGCGCCATCTGTCGGGCTTCAAAGGAAGGACTTTGAAATAGCCGGGAAAATGGCGCCCAACCGACGCGGAGGTAAAAGGTATGTTTCTAAAATCGCCACCACAAAGCAACTACGAGTTGAAACGGAATGCCCTTGCTAATTTAGGTTCATACACTGTTAAAAAATGGTTGTACAGAAACAATCAGATGAGTGAAAATTTAGTCGTTCCAAAACATAGGAATTTCATCATGAACCAAAGCGAAACAAATGTCGTTGAGTCTAGTAAGCGACATTTTGTCGCTAAAGAACAAAATTCTTGTTATCACTCTTTACGATACAATTTGTGTGGAAACAACATCTTTTGCAATTATCTGCTCAATTAAAGCATATTATGAATAATCATCTATTTTGTTCTTCTAAGTCATAGAAAAATTACTATTGTTAAATTAAAACCATGCACAATAAATTTAGCGACAAAAGTACTCTATGAATATTGTCGCAGACATTACAAAATTTCTTTTGGACTTTCAATATTTGTCGTTGATGTGTTATTGTTGGTGCATTATTACAAGTTAGTCGTTGTGAAATTATCCCTTAGTTCCAATACGACTACAGTTTAACAAGCTATTCGTTCCACAACAAATCTTGTCGCTAAAAAAGTTAGCGATAAATGTGTCGCTAAGTTACGACAAAATTTTTATCAGTGTAATAGGTCAGGGAACACAAATTTACCATAGCGCAGCCGAAAAAGTTCGATGCCTTGGTGCGCGGGTGACGACAAAGTGGCGTTCGTCACTCTGTCAAACCATTTTTTTGTGGACGAATTTCACCAAATTTCACAGTAGTTTTATTGGTTTTAGTCCCATCCTTCGCTTCTCAGCGACGGGTTTTTGTCTCTATTTTCCATTTTTCCATCTCCGCCACATTTAGTGTCACGAATAGGTTATGTTTTGGCTAGGCTAGGGCCCTGTAGTCACTCAAGGCTCTGGCCTAGCCAAAACACTTCCCACCTGTTTCTACTGTCATCTGCTCTCTAACTCTTTATCTTTTGTTGTAGAGGTCGACACTCGGACCATTCACTTGAGGTTGCAATCAGCGCAGTGAAGAATGGAGACATGAACATCAGAAAGGCTTCACAGTTTTATCAAGTTCCTCGAGAAACGCTTCGCCGCCATGTTAATGGATTGTCAACAAGTTTTAAAAGTGGACCCAAACCCAAATTTTCACAGGCAGTAGAGAGTGAATTATCTGAAGCGTGTCAGCTTTTAGCTTCTAGTGGTTATGGTCTCAGAACTCATGACCTAAAAATTTTGGGAGAAGAAGTTGCTACAAGAGAAAACATGGCACCATTTAAAAACCAGATACCGACAAATGGCCGGATTCAGCGGTTCAAGAGAAGAAACCGTTGCTCTCATCGCAGACCCCAAAATGTTTCAACTGCTCGGATGAATGCTGAAAGTATTTCGGTAAAGGATAATTTTTATTCTAAACTGAAAGAAGCTTATCAAGAATTACGGCCACAAGGACTTGATGCAACAACAATATTTAATGTTGACGAGACTGGTTGCACTGTTGTTGGAGAAGGCGGAAAAGTCATTGCTGGGAAGGGCCAGAAAAGTGTAAGACAAAGAACATCGGCAGAGCGAGGTGAAAATGTGACTGTTGTTGCTACAGTGAATGCTGCTGGTACAGTCATTTTGCCACCCACCATCATCTTCAAAGGAGTTCAACTTCATGAAGATTACATGATTGATGCCATGGATGGAGTTGTGTTTGCAACATCTAAATGCAGCTTCATTGACAGTGAACTTTTCAGTGAATATATGGACCGATTTATTCAAAGTATCCCACCAAAACGTCCTGTGTTGCTCTTATTAGATGGCCATGCTTCTCACCTAACTCTTGAAGTTATAAATAAGGCCAGAGAGAACAACATTCACATGCTGCTGTTTCCTCCACATACTACCCATCTGTACCAACCGTTGGATGTTGGAGTGTTTGGACCACTGACAAAAGCATTCCACAATGCCTGTACCAAGCTTATGCGTAAAAACAAGATCCAAAAGCTGCAGAGGTAAGAATATTAATTATTATTAGCTATCATTTTCTTTGATTCAAAAATAAAAAATCCTTTTCATTTTCCTTTTTAGGCACGAAGTAGCCTTATAGTATACCCAGGATTCAGCCGGCCCGAGATTCAATTTGTGTGGCCCTTTATGCATTTCGGAAATTTTCTATACGATTTTAATGAGACTTTGCAGACTTGTAGAACTTTGAACGCTGATTCTCATGCTGAAATCTGGTTAAAAAGTTGGTGGCCAATTTTGAGAAATTTGCTGTCAAAATCGCCGTTTCCATGGCAAAACTCGACTCGTCAAAGGAAAAAAAAGGAGTGGGGGGAGCCGAGCCGGGGCGGACCAATAGCCGAGCTTCTTTTTGGGTCTGTACAGCTTACTCCAAAAGCTGAAATCAGCACGTTCGAAATGAAAAATTTCTTTGACTGCAGGTAGACAAGATGCAACAATAGAATTGGTGTCGGTTCGAACGCAGTTTTTCGGGTAGAACTATCCAATAATACTTCTTGATTGGAGTGTTTTTGGACATGCGCAGTAGGTTTGCAACCTGTTAACAGTTTAACCAACTGTAGCATTTGAAACCTGTATTAATTATGCTCTCTTTCTTGTTTTTTCTTTGTTTCCTGCTTATGAAAATTCATATAAAACAAATTTTCAATTTTTGTGTGATGACTTTCTAAAAAAATATTCACAGAAAATTAGCAAAACAAAAGTTCTTTTTTTCTGACATACAGTTTCTCAAATATTCCTTTTTTTCTGTCAATAAAACAATTTTGTTGTTGTTGTGATTCAGTTAGCACTAGGACCACTTCGCTCCACCTCGCGACTTGCAGTGCTCATGTTCCTCGAACAAGACTCACCCGCGTTTTGAAACCATCCCTCCCGCGTTTATTAAGTTTGTCAAACCAATCCCTCCCGCGTTTATTAAGTTTGTCAAACCAACCGTCGTGGTGTTGATACGTTGTAAGGGAGAACTATTACACAGAATTGAAGAAAACATGACTAGAGAACCATAGCCTTTTGAAACAAGCCAAACAATTCAACGTCAGCAACAATGGATTGGCAGTTTTAATGCGCGACTGCTGGTGCTTTCAGCTTCGCGATTTTCGCAAGGGCGCAGACGCCGAGAAACTAGTTGCCAACCCGTGAAAATTAATTTACTGCCTTCTTTCTGCCAAGAACATTTTAATAATGATGGACTTTAAAGATGTTCCATTGTCAGAACACTGTGGAATACATTAGCATTGGAATTTTTTGAATTTACCAGCATTTTGATTTCTATTTTGTCAAGTTTAAATTTCAACGGGTGGCACATCGGCCACATTGGTACCACTGCCATTGGTAGTCCCCTAAGCCACAACTTCACAACACCACTTCTTTTCTTTCTCCACACTCTTACACAATAATCAAATTGACTTCGTGACTCCTAGGATTTCTTGAAATCGTATTTTTTAATTTTTAATTTGCAGGCGCCACTTTTCTCGACTCCTTAAAGAAGCATGGACTGAAGCTGTGACACCAATAAATATCCAGGGAGGCTTTGCTGGATCTGGCGTGTGGCCACTTCAAGAGTAATTTTGCCTTGTGAAAGGCTTCAGAAGCAACTGGAAGAGCACAACGATGCTGATGATCCTACTGATTAGTCTATGGACCAATCCCTTTTGAATCCTGGAGACAAATCCTCAGCTAACGGTAATAATAATGAATTTGATTCTGCCATGAAGCTATTTTTACTGTCTCATTTAATTTATTTTGTATTTGTTTTGTTTTGTTTTTAACATTTAGATGATTCTCCTCGATCAGTTGCTGCAGTTGTTCAAAGCTTTCTGAACCCAGTGCCTGAAATCGAAGATAGCAGCGGACCATCTACATCGAAAAGGATCACCACAACAAGAATGATCACCAGTCAAGAATTTGTGGATCAAATGCAAGAAAGAGAAGAAAAGAAGAGAGAGGAAGAAGAACTGAAAGCACAGAGAAAAAGAGAGAGGGAAGAAAAAAAAGTGGAAAAATCTAGACTATCAGAAGAGAAAAAGAGACAAGCAGCAGAGAAGAGGAGGTTAGCAGAGGAGAAAAAGAGACTTGCATTGGAGCAAAAAGAAAATCAAAAGGGAAAGCAAGTCAAACGAAGGAACACAAGGAAGAGAAACAAACAGATCGTAGAAGACAACAATCTTTCTGATGTTGATGACCCAAACTCTGAAATGGACAAAGAAAATGTTGATCCGAGAGCTGATATTAATGGGGGAAGACAATCAACAACAGCTAGTCAAGAAGAGGAAGAAGACGCACTCTGTGGGAAATGTGCAAGATCTTTTCTTCATGACTTTAGAGGAGAGAAGTGGATAAGATGCTCCAACTGTGAAATATGGTACCACAACAAATGCTTAGGTTTAAGAGATTCCTTTTTTTCTTTGACATTTATTTGCCCTGATTGCAAGTAGTCTATTTGTTATTGCCAAACTTTTTTGTTACATATTTTTTGGGGGTTGAAGTGTTATCTTTGTACTTTATATCCATGAATTATTTTATTTTTGTGTTACAAGTTGACTGATGTCACAAGATTTTCTATTTATTTGTTATTCTATTTATTAGCTGACTAAACCCACCAAAATTCGTGTTATTGTTTAATATAAAGTATGTTGAATTCCTTTCAGGGAAACTTTTAAAACCAATTTTAGTGTTGAATTTTTGAAACTATTTAATTAATGTTTTAAGCCATATGCAGCCTAAGTGGCTATTTTTTAAAGCTCCCAATGTATTACCACTGTCATATGACTTTCTTTTTCTATGGATATTATAACACTAGTCAAATAAATTTATTTATGATATACATTGTGACTGAAGTAGATAAACTATTACTGCGATACCCCACTGTGACAGGGAATGCCAGGGCTGGGATGCACGATGGGTTGCCTACCTCACGGCGGCGGTCACTCTAGATCTACCCTCTGCATGGTAACTGTTTCACCTTCTCTCTATCTCTCTCTCTTTCTCTATTTCTCGCACACTTCTTCCTTTTACCAATGCCAGCCATACAATACAAACTCATGTAAAATGAGCCTTTTAATATTTTTTTTCATGCCTGCTTGGTAAATTGTGGATTTGAGACTTCAAAGAATCAAAAGTAAAAAAATATAGATTTAAAAAAAAAAAAATTCCATCAAACCCTGAAAATGACCCACAATTGATATGACCCACAATTGATTCATTGTGCTGTAGATCCTGTAGTTTTCAGAATTTCAAAAAATGAATTCAACAGTGTGATACTTATGTGTTCAGACATAACGTATCCAAATTTGAGCCTCCTAGGACGCTGACCCACAATTGATTCCAAAAATCAATTGTGGGCCAAAACAAACTATTTTTAAAACAGCCGCAACTCTGTAAATAAGGATGATGGACGGGGCTACTAAGCAGCAAAACTTAATGAAAGGACCATAGTTAAAGACTACAAAGCCACTTTGGCCACCAGTTCAAAATTTATGCCCTAAATTTGGAATTTTCAAAAAAGTGACCCACAATTGATTTTTTACCTTATGCGAGGTCGCAAGGCCACGCTCTAAATCGGTCCTCTGCTTCAATAGGAACGCGAAATTCGACTTAGACTTTCGTGTTTTCGGCTTGGCACTTTACGTTGCACGCTACAGAATCTCCTCAAAAGGCTTCGTCGCCAATCGCACTAGGACTATGCGGGAGCGCAGGAGCACGCTCTAAATCCGTCCTCTGCTTCAATAGGAACGAAAAATTCGACTTTGACTTTCGTGTTTGCGGCAAGGCACTTCACGTAGCACGCTAAGAAATCCCCGCAAAAGACATCGTCGCCAATCGCACTGGGACTATGCGGGATCGCAAGGGCACGCTCTTAAACGGTCCTCTGCTTCAATAGGAACGCGAAATTCGACTTTGACTTTGTTTGCTTTCGGCACTTCACATAGCACGACGCTAAAGAATCTTCTGAAGCGTCATCGTCGCCAATCACACTGGGACTATGCGGGATCGCAAGGGCACGCTCTAAATCTGTCCTCTGCCTCAATGGGAACGCGAAATTCGACTTTGACTGTTCGTGTTTTCGGCACTTCACGTAGCACGACGCCAAAGAATCTCCTCAAGGGTCATCGTCGCCAAACGCACTAGGACTATGCGGGATCGCAAGGGCACGCTCTAAATCGGTCCTCTGCTTCAATAGGAACGTGAAATTCGACTTTGACTTTGTTTGCTTTCGGCACTTCACATAGCACGACGCTAAAGAATCTCGTCAAGAGTCATCATCGCCAATCGCACTGGGCCTATGCGGGATCGCAAGGGCACGCTCTTAATCGGTCCTCTGCTTCAATAGGAACGCGAAAGTCGACTTTGACTTTCCGAGTTTTCGGCACTTCACGTAGCACGACGCTAAAGAATCTTCTCAAGGGTCATCGTTGCCAATCGCACTGGGACTATGCGAGGTCGCAAGGGCACGCTCTAAATCGGTCCTCCGCTTGAATCTGAACGTGAAATTCGACTTTGACTGTTCGTGTTTTCGGCACTTCGAGTAGCACGACGCAAAAGAATCTCCTCAAGAGTCATCGTCGCCAATCGCACTGGGACTATGCGGGATCGCAAGGGCACGCTCTAAATCGGTCCTCTGCTTCAATAGGAACGTGAAATTCGACTTTGACTTTGTTTGCTTTCGGCACTTCACATAGCACGACGCTAAAGAATCTCGTCAAGAGTCATCATCGCCAATCGCACTGGGCCTATGCGGGATCGCAAGGGCACGCTCTTAATCGGTCCTCTGCTTCAATAGGAACGCGAAAGTCGACTTTGACTTTCCGAGTTTTCGGCACTTCACGTAGCACGACGCTAAAGAATCTTCTCATCGTCGCCAATCGCACTGGGACGTTGGGGATCGCTAGGGCACGCTTTTAATCGGTCTTCTGCTTCAAAAGGAACGCGAAATTCGACTTTGACTTTGTTTGCTTTCGGCACTTTACATGGCACGACGGTAAAGAATCTCCTCAAGAGTCATCGTCGCCAATCGCACTGGGTTTATGCGGGATCGCAAGGGCACGCTCTAAATCAGTCCTGTGCTTCAATCTGAACGTGAAATTCGACTTTGGCTGTTCGTGTTTTCGGCTTGGCACTTCACGTTGCACGTGTCGTAGTTGGCACCACTGCAGCCCGCTATCTCCTGACTTCCCCACCGGGCAGCAGCACCTGCTCCACCAACATCCGGCTGATCACGTGAACAATAAAGGCTGTCAGTATTGTTTCTGAACCCACACCGTCCAGTCACTTTAATCCACTTGCATCCTACGTCCCATCTACGAGATCACGACATGGCGCAGTCTTAAGGAAAGAAATCGCAGTGAATTTAGCGCTAAAAGTGTGAGTGAAGTGTCGTGCCGGTAAATCTCTGACTATCCACCCCGTCAGTGATACGTGACTGCCAGTCAAATGGCTGGAATCTCGACGGCGGGGCACGTCGACCTCCAAAACGGCAATATTCAAGCAACGTGGGAGGCGTATAAACAGAAACTGAATTTCTATATAACCTCACTGGAAAAAGCAGGAGCGGATCCCACGGTCAAACATGCCATCCTAATGAGAGAGGCAGGACCTGATGTGATGGATATCTACAACTCTTTCAAGAGCAAAATGATAACATACAAAGTGAACGAAGAGACTCAGGAAAGAGAAGTTGACGTAGACAACTCCAAAAACTATGATTTGGTTCTGAAAGAGTTTGACAAATATGTGGCTGAGAAGAAATGTGTCACCACTAGTCGTGAAATCTTCAATGCACGGAATCAAAAAAGAGGAGAAAGTATCACAACGTGGGTAACCAGTCTCAGGAATTTAATTGCTGACTGTGAATACAAGGAAGTAGAAGAAAGCATGCTCAAGGATCGAATCATCTGGGGAGTCTTTGATGAAAAACTCCGCATCAACATTAGAGCCAAGGCAAGCCTAAAACTGGATGAGATCATCGAGGTATGCAAGGCGGTTGAGGCCACCTCCAGATACTCCAACCAGAATGAGAAGGTTGCTGAGGTTGATACTGCCCAGGCCTCAGGATCTGGATACAGACAGAAAACACAGCATTATAATCAGAGCAGAAATGCCAGCAGCAGTTCAGGCAAGAGCTCTCGTGGTAACTGGGGACCGCAAAGACAGGCTCCATACCAGAAACCCTCTCACTCGAGAAGTGGGCAGAAGTACAAATGCCGCAATTGTGGAACATGGCATGTTAAGAGGGACTGCCCCGCATATGGCACACACTGTAAAAACTGTGGTAAAAAGAACCATTTCACAAAAATTTGTGAAACCAAGAACACTCACTCATCCAACTCCAGTGACCACAAGCTGAAGAAGTCAGTCGACGCAGTTGAGACCAGGGACCTGGGCAGCGAGGAAGAGGAAGACCTGCTTCGGGGCGGCTGGAACTCACCAGCTTCACAGTCTTCACCAGCTAAGTCAGAGGTGAGTTCAGTGTGTGTTCATATGTTGTCCACTGTAAAAAACAAAGTGATAGTTAGTGGTGAAACCAGTACTCGCAGGAAAGAGTATACTGAGGTACTAAAGCTTCAAACTGAACACTTTGTGAAGTTTAAACTTGACCCTGGTGCAGAAATAAATAGCTTGCCCCTTAAAGTATTTAATCTAATAAATAGAAATTACACTGTGAGGCCCACTAACATCCATATTAGAGCGTATGGTAATGTAATCAGTCAACCTGCGGGCATTGTATCATTATTAGTTGAAACACAACATGGAGATTCATTAACATGTGACTTTCTCCTATCCAAAACTGAGCCTAAACCAATTTTGGGAATTGAAGCCTGTGAGAAACTAAACTTAGTCAAAAGGGTACAACATCCGACTAAGATAGTGAACAGCATGGAAAAGGAAACATCCTTACCAGAAAAGTGTGACGCATTTAAAAAAATGTATCCCGAACAGTTCAATGGACTGGGACAGTTTAAGCAGGTAGTCAAAATAAATGTTGATCCAAATGCTCAGCCTTGGGCTTGCCCTCCCAGAAGGTATCACTTTTCAACTCCAAAGAAGTTGGAAAGCAAACTTGCTGACCTGGAAAAGACAGGTATAATAGCCAAAGTTAAAGATCAAATACCCAAATATGTTAGTAATATGTTGCTGAGGGAAAAGGCAAATGGGGACATACGAATTTGCCTCGACCCAGAGCATCTAAATAAAGCCATAGTGAGACAACATTATAATATTCCCACAATAGAGGAATTGAAAATAAGAGTTAAAAACAAGAAAATATTTACTGTGCTAGATCTCAAAGACGGCTTCTGGCATGCTGCCCTGGATGGACCTTCCGCTGAGCTGACATGCTTCAGCACCCCCTTTGGCTTGTACAAATTTTTGAAAATGCCGTTTGGCATATCAAGTGCACCTAAAACCTTTCAGTTCCTGACGGAACAGGCGTTCGAGGGCACTGGGGGCGTGGTTTATTTTGATGATATACTCATCCCAGGTCAAAACACAGTGGAGCATGACAAAATCCTGAAGTCTGTCATGAAAAGGGCAAAAGATGAAAACATAAGGTTTAATCCCTCAAAAATACAATATAGGAAAACTGAAGTTAAGTTTTTAGGTCAATTATGGTCAGAGAACTGTGCTAAGGTAGATCCTGAAAGGGTGCGGGCAGTGGATGCAATCAAGGAACCCACAACGAGAACTCAGTTGCACAAAACTATGGGAACGTTTAATTATCTCAGAAACTTCATACCTCAAATGGGTCAAATTGCAGCCCCACTCTATAAATTACTCTCTCCAATGGTAAAATTTCATTGGCTACCAGCTCACTCAGAAGCCTTTAAAACTCTAAAAGAGAGTATAAAAAAAGCACCGGTGCTGGCCACATTTGACAGTAAACTTCCTATAATTATACAAGCAGATGCCAGTCAAAATGGCATTGGGTGTGTGCTCCTTCAGAATGGCAAGCCTGTGGCAATGGCATCAAGGGCACTAACTGAAACAGAAAAGCTCTATGCCCAGTGCGAAAAGGAGTTACTTGCCCTTGTCTTTGCTGCAGAAAAGTTTGCAAAATACATCTGGGGCATGCCTCGGGTGACTTTTCACACTGATCATCAGCCTCTGGTCTCAATATTTAAAAAACCCATGCATTCAATCAAAAACAACAGATTAAAGAAATTGAGACTCAAACTGATGGAGTTCAATCCTGTTGTCGAGTACTTGCCTGGAAAACACATGCACATGGCAGACCTTCTTTCTCGCCAATTTCTCGAGGACCCAGTACATGACGATCCAGAAATGCTGGAGGTTGTTCATGAGGTAACCAAGCACATTTCCATGTCACCTGAAATTGGGGCTGAGTTCAGACAGGCTACTGCAACAGATGCAGGCCTCTCTGTAGTAATTCAGCTCTACAAGGAAGGTTGGCCAAATAATAGAGAAAATGTCCCAACTGAGGCTCGTCAATATTGGCAAGTTCGCAATGAACTATTTGAGGAAGATGGGCTGGTGATCTTGGATGAAAGGATAGTAGTGCCGCCGTCTCTTCGCAGTAAAGTCCTAAAAAAACTGCACAAACCTCACCTGGGAATAGAGAAAACAAAACTCAGAGCTAGACAGACTTTGTACTGGCCAGGGATGTCCAATGACATAACAACAACAGTGCAACAATGTCGGATCTGTGAGAGATATAGTGCTAAGAATAAAAGAGAGCCACTTACCCCACATGAGATTCCAGACTTGCCTTTTCAAAAGGTTAGCATTGACATCCTTGAGCTGGACTCTAAAAGTTTCTTGGTAGTTGAGGATAACCTATCCAAATGGCTCGAAGTGAGACGACTAACCAGCAAGAGTAGTAAGGCAGTGATAGAGACGCTCCGCTCCACCTTTGCAACCCATGGAATACCTGAAACAATATTTGGCGACAACAATCCATTGAATTCCCAAGAGTGCAAAGAGTTTGCACAAGAAATAGGAAGCACCATAAAGACAAGCTCGCCTGAATACCCTCGAAGCAATGGGCTGGCGGAGAAGGGGGTGCACATTGCAAAACAGATTATGAGAAAAATACGTGATGACGGCACTCACCTCTCTGATGCATTGCTAGAGTACAATAACACACCGCTTTCTGGGCTAAACATTTCCCCTGCCCAAATCCTCATGAGCAGAAGGTGCAGAACCGCAGTGCCAACGCTCAGGGAAAGTCTGAAACCAAAAGTAGTAACCGTTAGGCCACAGCTTGAAGCGAGGCAACAACATATGAAAATGTTGCACGACAGAAGTGCCCCTCGCAAAGCTGTGAGTTTCAAAAGTGGGGACTCAGTGGCAGTTAGGAGGAAAAATGTGTGGAAAAAGGGCACGATTATTGAGCAAGTCGACAACAACAGTTACATGGTTCAAATGGACGGAGGGAGAAAAAAAAGGCGTAACACTTACCATCTAAAGCCATCTGTCACAAAACCTGACATGCACGATGACAACTTCGTAGACATTGAGGGCCTAATTGACCATGTAATCACGTCGCGAGCCAACACTGAGGCAGTCCCCCCAGTTGTTGAGCAGATTGTTCGACCTCCTAATGCCAACAATAACGTTGTGAATCCTCCTGTTGCAGACCGACGACGAAGGCTCGTCACCCAGGTGGCAGAGATACAGCGGAAGAGAACGCGGTATGGGCGACCTGTGAAGAGGCCCAGCTACTTTGGTCAAGGCGTGGAGTAACGCCAAGAAATCACTTTAGTTTCTCAGTGTTTTGGAACCGACAAGAGGTTCAGAAGTTCAAAACACAGTGGTGTGTTTGTTTTTTGTTATTAAATTTTCTATTGTTCTTCGCGGGGCTCTCCAGAAGTGCCAACCACGAAAAGAAAAATCTTGGTTTGGTATAAATTTGAAATAATAATTATTATAACTAATAAAAAGTATTACACTTTAGTTGGAAATCGGTGAACGGATTGTATGAAAACCATTCATAATATGAATAAATCAAAATGAAAACTACCCAACTAGGTATGTTTTTCAACACCCTGAAGGGGGGAGGTGTCGTAGTTGGCACCACTGCAGCCCGCTATCTCCTGACTTCCCCACCGGGCAGCAGCACCTGCTCCACCAACATCCGGCTGATCACGTGAACAATAAAGGCTGTCAGTATTGTTTCTGAACCCACACCGTCTAGTCACTTTAATCCACTTGCATCCTACGTCCCATCTACGAGATCACGACAGCACGCTCTAGAATCTCCTCAGAATGCTTCGTCGCCAATCGCACTGGGACTATGCGGGGTCGCAAGGGCACGCTCTAAATCGGTCCTCTGCTTGAATCTGAACGTGAAATTCGACTTTGACTGTTCGTGTTTTCGGCACTTCGAGTAGCACGACGCTAAAGAATCTCCTCAAGAGTCATCGTTGCCAATCGCACTGGGACGTTGGGGATCGCTAGGGCTCGCTCTTAATCGGTCTTCTGCTTCAAAACGAACGCGAAATTCGACTTTGACTTTGTTTGCTTTCGGGACTTTACATGGCACGACGCTCAAGAATCTCCTCAAGAGTCATCGTCGCCAATCGCACTGGGACTATGCGGGATCGCAAGGGCACGCTCTAAATCAGTCCTCTGCTTCCATCTGAACAAGAAATTCGACTTTGGCTGTTCGTGTTTTCGGCACTTCACGTAGCTCGACGCTTAAGAATCTCCTCAATAGTCATCGTCGCCAATCGCACTGGCACTATGCGGGATTGCAAGGGCACGCTCTAAATCGGTCCTCTGCTTAGGAACGCGGAATTCGTCTTTGACTTTGTTTGCTTTCGGCACTTCACATAGCACGACGCTAAAGAATCTCCTGAAGCGTCATCGTCGCAAATCGCACTGGGACTATGCGGTATCGCAAGGGCACGCTCTAAATCGGTCCTCGGCTTCAATCTGAACGTAAAATTCGACTTTGACTGTTCGTGTTGTCGGCACTTCACGTAGCACGACGCCAAAGAATCTCCTCAAGAGTCATCGTCGCCAATCGCACTGGGCCTATGCGGGATCGTGAGGGCACGCTCTAAATCGGTCCTCTGCTTCAATAGGAACGCGAAATTCGACTTTGACTTTGTTTGCTTTCGGCACTTCACATAGCACGACTCTAAAGAATCACGTCAAGAGTCATCGTCGCCAATCGAACTGGGATAATGCTGGATCGCAAGGGCACGCTCTAAATCGGTCCTCTGCTTCAATCTGAACGCGAAATTTGACTTTGACTGTTCGTGTATTCGGCTTTTCACTTCACGTTGCACGCTAAAGAAACTCCGCAGAAGGCTTCGTCGCCTATCTCACTGGGACACTGCGGGATCACAAGGGCGCGCTCTAAATCGGTCCTCTGCTTCAAAAGGAACGCGAAATTCGACTTTGACTTTCGTGTTTTCGGTTTGGCACTTTACGTTGCACGCTAAAGAATCTCCTCAGATGGCTTCGTCGCCAATCGCACTAGGACTATGCGGTATCGCAAGGGCACGCTCTAAATCGGTCCTCGGCTTCAATCTGAACGTAAAATTCGACTTTGACAGTTCGTGTTTTCGGCACTTCACGTAGCACGACGCTTAAGAATCTCCTCAAGAGTCTTCGTCGCCAATCGCACTGGGACTATGCGGGATGGCAAGGGCACGCTCTAAATCCGTCCTCTGCTTTATTAGGAACGAAAAATTCGACTTTGACTCTTTGTGTTTTCGGAACTTCACGTAGCACGACGCTAAAGAATCTCCTCAGGAGTCATCGTCGCCAATCGCACTGGGACTATGCGAGGTCGCAAAGCCACGCTCTAAATCGGTCCTCTGCTTCAATAGGAACGCGAAATTCGACTTTGACTTTCGTGTTTTCGGCTTGGCACTTTACGTTGCACGCTACAGAATCTCCTCAGAAGGCTTCGTCGCAAATCGCACTAGGACTATGCGGGAGCGCAGGAGCACGCTCTAAATCCGTCCTCTGCTTCAATAGGAACGAAAAATTCGACTTTGACTTTCGTGTTTGCGGCAAGACACTTCACGTAGCACGCTAAGAAATTCCCGCAAAAGACATCGTCGCCAATCGCACTGGGACTATGCGGGATGGCAAGGGCACGCTCTAAATCCGTCCTCTGCTTTAATAGTGTAGTATTATAGCCTCCAGCGTTCAGCTGGCATTGTCATAGCCGCGTGCAGCGCGCGCTTCTCATATCGGCCTCAACAGAAGCAGTAGCTTTGTTAGCAAGCGGTGGCCCGCCGCGCTTGGATCGTCTCTAGCCATTGTATTGGATCCTGCCTTAGCCTCATTAAATCAGCTAACATCTACGTCTTCTCTTCAGTTACCTACCCTCAGAGCTAACATTACAATTGGCGCAGTCGGTAGCTGAAGTGGAGCGTATTTGTGCTGATTATTTTTCTCTGGTGCACTGTAAGGAAACGTTCATCTGTGACCTTGCGACTGGCGTTCCCTGAGGAGTCCCTGAGGCGTCCCTGGCCAGACCCTCGCCCGTCTGGAGTCCCTGTGGTCACCTCATCGCTTCCCCAATTGCTGACCCCAGTGTGACCCTTGACCCCGAGTGCATCCTTGAGTTTCTGAGTGAGTCTTAAGTGTCAACCGTTGCTGTGATCGACGTGTTTTGACGGTCCCAAACTTCGCGTGACCTCTTGAGTGACCTTTGACCGCACTTTTGAGGTTAAGACAAGGCCATGCCGCGTCGTGAAGGCTCTGCGCGTGGGCCACGTCGGCCGCGTCGGCCAGTGCGACCGCACCGAGCCCCCCTCCTGCCGCCACGACGGCCGCGTATTGTTGACGCTTGGGTGGTCCGTGCGCTCGGCGGCCCCCGCCCGCTGGCCGGTACTGACAATGGCGGCGCACCTCCTGGTGGCGCTGGCGCCCTGGTCGGAGGTCCGGGCCCTGTTCCCGCACAGCCCGACTTGCAGGTTGTGTTGGCTGACCTCGCGGCTCTTCGTGCGACCGTAGCTGCTAACGCCGGTCCCCGTCGCGATGCGTTGGTTTTGGAGGAGATTGTCCAGTTTGACCCTGTGACCCCTCAAACCATGCTGGCCCTCCGCAAAGCCGTCCCGCAGTTTGATGAGAAGGTCACCTACGATGTTTTCAAAGCAACGTTCGATGACCTGACAGCCACCTTCCCCGGACTAACTGAGCAGCAGAAGTGTCAACTTCTGGCCGCCGCTCTCCATGGCGAGCCACAACAGGTCCTGGAGGACCTAGGTTCTAATCGGACCTATGCTGCATTGGACGAGGCCTTGCGTCTGTCGTACAGTCGGCCCGTTCATGCCTGGACCGAGATGCGCAGTCTCGTGTCCGTGTCCATGCGGCAAAAGACGGAGGAATCACTGGAGGCGTGGAGCGCACGCGTCAGTCGTGCTGCTCGCAGGGCTTACCCTGACACTCCTTTTCCTCGCGTGGAAAGCTACGCCGTCCAGCACTTTATCACTGGTCTCACTGCCCCCGAGATCCACAGTGCGGTAGCTGGCGTCGCGTATGCGACCATGCAAGAGGCCCTCGCGGCTTGTCAGTTGGTTTGCGCGCGAATGCCGGCCTCCTGGAAGACATCATTGAAGGTTGCCCAGCTGGCAGTGGAATGCCAATCTTCGTTTTCGCCGATTTCTGCGTCTTCTGGCTCATCTAGTGATAGTGACTCTTCTGTAAGTGACAAGCTGGACCGCTTGAATCAACGGGTCGACGGCCTGGTCCATCAAGCTAATGTCGAATCTGATTGATGTGTTTAACACACATGGGCCCTTATTTCAGTAGTTACTTGAGAACAGTGCCAAATGAATCTGTCCAGCCTTCCAAGTTGTGACCTGGGGATGTTCCGGTGCTGTGTCCGCATGGACCACCCGTCTGCAACCCTCTTGGTTGGCTCTCAAACGTACAGATTTCATGCCTTCATTGAGGAGGAGGGAGAGGACCGTTGGGTACGGACTAGCGTCCTCAAAAGTGGCAGCATTCTCTTTTATTCACCCGTTGATTTCGAATGTTAAGATGATTGTTCCGTTGGAATTTAGTCTGTTGCATCTTGTCAGTTGAGTGCAATTGTTTGAGAAAATTCAGCCATGTTCGAGGCCCCCAGATCTGTGCGGTGAGGTACAGTTAAGGGTGGTGCGATTGCTCAGTGCGCGGTGTATCCGGAGTGCAAGGCACGCTCACATGCTCCAGTCGAGCCATCTCAAGCGGCCCTGATTTTGAGATGAGTTCGGTGCACAGGTTTTTCCCCTTAAAGAAGGTTTTCCTGGCCCCTACTATTGCCGAAATCGGGAACTCATCTTTGGGGCTAAATGTCTGTTGAGGCTGCCGTTTCCTTGTTGGGGTGGTCCTAACCTCTCAAAAGAAAAGGGAGGAGTAATTGTAGTATTATAGCCTCCAGCGTTCAGCTGGCATTGTCATAGCCGCGTGCAGCGCGCGCTTCTCATATCGGCCTCAACAGAAGCAGTAGCTTTGTTAGCAAGCGGTGGCCCGCCGCGCTTGGATCGTCTCTAGCCATTGTATTGGATCCTGCCTTAGCCTCATTAAATCAGCTAACATCTACGTCTTCTCTTCAACGAAAAATTCGACTATGACTTTCGTGTTTTCGGCTTGGCACTTTACGTTGCACGCTAAAGAATCTCCTCAGAAGGCT